GCTGCTTCTGATTGGTTAATTTGACCCCCCCTCCCACACACCCACCCCAGGTGCGATTCTCTACAGAAGATTCAGAAGCCATCTGCTTGTTGCTGGCCCCGAGGCTACTTTTAAATCAGCCCAACGTTGCTGTTTACTGGAGCAGTTCAGTTTGATCACATTATCCAAAGGCACAACAGCATCGCCCCCCCTGGCTCGGATAGACAGGGCTCAGTGCCTCCAGCCCTGTGCTGACTGCTGCGCTTCATGCATTACGTAAGTGTGTGCCATTTTTGGGGGGTGGAGAAGTCCCTCTGCCCCCCCCCCCCCCCCCACCCCTCCCACTCAGGCGCACACACACACACACACACACACGAGTTCCGCCTTGTGGCCTTACAGACTGCGTCTTACAGACCGCCTGGCACCCTCAGCGATTCAAGTGGCTCATTCATGCCTCCAGTAAAGGATCCCCTGCTGCTAGCGATGCTGATGCGGGATGCCGTTGCGGGTCGTCGTCGTGTCGTGGTCTGTGTTCAGCCACCAGCAGGAGGCGCCCTTCAGCTGGTCGCTGAGCCATACTGGCGCGGTTTTCCTTTCCTGTATAAGCTTTATATTCTGGTTCCCTGCGTTTTCTTCTCCCTCCAGTAACAGACATCATCCCTCCTCCGTGGCGACGGTGCACCAGGGAGTCCCGACCTCTGCTGTCTTTGCATCTGGGGATCCCCGCTTTCAGGAAAGGTTCAAGACCCCAATTTTAGTGATGAGAACTCAAAACCACTTGTTCTGATTCACGAGTTAAAGATTACTTGTTAATATGGTAACCTGTGTTTTTTGTTGCTTTTTGTCATTTAATGGCGCGAGTAGGGTTTGGATTGGCAGTGGGTAGAGTTTTGGCCTCATGCCTGGAGGGCTGTAGGTTCGATTCCCGCCCCCGCTCGCTCTGTGTGGAGTTTACATGCCCTCCCCACATTTGCGTGGGTGTCCTCTGGGAACTCCTGTTTTCTCCCACAGTCCAAAAACAAGTGAATATTATCTTGATAAACTGTCCACAGTGTGTGATTGTGTGTGCGCTGTGACGGACTGGCATCCCGTCCCTGACGGCACCCGCTCCTTCCTGGGGTGATGGATATGGATCTAAATCCTTTTCTTAATATATAGTTTTTTTCTTTCGGTGTAGTGACACATGATTCCATCCATCCATTCTCCAGGCTTCTTATCCTGGGGAGGGGCTGGTCTGGAGCCTGTCCCATGCAAACTTAGAGATGCCTGTCAGCCTGACTGTACGTCTTGGGTCTCGGACAGCAGGAGTAAATCCATGTGACGTTGGGGGGGGGGGGCATGGGGGTGCAACCTCCACACACACAGAGTAGAGCCCCCCTGCCAGGAATGCAAAAAGTCAGAGGATTTTATAGAAGCTTCTATATAGAAAAAACTAAGAGACCACAGCACAATTTTTTGTTTCTAAATTTATGGGTGTGCATCTGTGAATAAGATAATTTTTTTGCAAACTCCAGCCTGGTTCTTCCCTGCTTCTCATTGATGAAGCGCTTCTTCCTTGCTTTGTGGGGCTTCAGTCCTGCTTCTAGGAGTCTGATACACACTGTTCTAGCAGTGCACTTCACATCTTCACTTAATATTCCCCATTCCTTTTGAAGGTCACCTAATGTCATCCTCCGATTCATGATGCACTGCCGGATAAGTTAACCGTCATCTCTGGCATTAGAAAGACGCTTCCGCCTTTTACCTGGCTGGTTTCTGGTCGTTCCCAGTGTCTCCTGCTTCACCTTATTCTTATGTGCTGCTGTCTTATAAATTTTGAGCCTGGAAGCAGCCTGCTGCTCAGTGTAGCCTTCTGCCAGGAGAACCAGGATTAAACCAGGGTTTAACAATGCAGATTTGTTTAAAAATATAGAGTGGTCTCAATTTTTTTCCTGGCTATATTTTAACCCACCTCCCAGTTTCCAGACAGAAAGGCCTTTCATGAAGTGCATCCCCTGTACCCCCCCCCATCCCCCCCCATCCCCTGTTCAGTTGTCTGGCCTCTTCTCCAGCAGTTTTAACTAAAGCCCCGTTTTGATTGGACGTTTTTCCCAGTAGCTTGAAGGCTTCACACTTGCTTCTCCATCCGCCATATAATACAGCTGGATGTCTAATTTAATGATGGTTTATCACATCAGTTTCCTGCCTATTAGTTATATTTTACCTTTTAATGTGACAAGTGTACTTTCCTGTTGTTACTCTCTAACCCTCCCTGAAATGTGCACTCAGGCTGGTCACTGTCATGTTGGGGTTTTTATTTAAAATGCTGCTTAAGAATCTAGTTAAAGCTTTCTAACTGATTTTCTGGCTTTGGGAGTGAGCTGGCATTTCATTGGGCTGATCACACACAGTCATCTCTCTCAGGCATGTTTACCTCCTCCAGAGTGATGGGATTATGGCACTTTGCCAGTACTCTCTTATAAAACATCCTTGCCAGGTAGTGGGATGGAGGTCTGACAGATGGCAGGACTTTGGTTCAGGTTAGCCAGGCTCAGGCGAATGAAATATATTGTTGGGTCGAATCCCTCCAATTCCACCCAGCTGACTCTGTACTTAGCAAGGATCTTGGGCTAATCAGGGTCAGTCCATGGAGCAATTGGGGCTTAAGTGAAATCACTCTGCCCACCCTGGGATTTGAACCTTGCGATCACAGTCGCTGCCTCCAAACCCACTGAGCCACTCGCTACCCCATATGCCAGGGGTGGGGATCCTGTTCCATGAAGGGCTGGTGTGGGTGTGGGTTTTTGGGATAGCCTCTCAGTCAGCCAATTACAGTGGGTCCCCAGGACTGGAGTTGAGAAATACTGTTTTATTATTGGTTGATTGAGAGGTCTTCTGAAAAACTCACACCCAGACTGGCCCTCCATGGAACAGGTGCCCCACCACTGCCATATACCTTTAAGAAGCAGGTGAGTGTCCAACTGGGCTAACAGACCTGTAACTGCACTGGCGGGGGGGGGTCTGCAGGTCAGGTCCCACCATCCACTCAGCTCTCTCTCTGCTGTGTGGGAGGCCAGCTTCTCCATGCCTGCCGCCCGCTCAGGATGACTGACGCTCCAGAGCGGGGAGAGTTCGCTGTTAATTAATATGGAGACAGGTGTGGGTGGCTATGAAGGGTGGGGGGTGTGTCCGTGGCACCCAGAGGGTCGCGTGTGCGTGTGGGTTTTAAAAACCCAACTGGGCGGCCCCAGTCCGCCCCCTGCTGGCTACACACTAGCGTGACGCTGTCACCCCGTGCTCCGTGGCAGCGGGGGTGGTGGGGGTCCAGCTGGTCGTTGTTCCTCCACGGCAGCCTGAGTGTTGTAAGCAGCAGGTGGGGGCCTGTTGGTCCGTCCCCCCCCCCCTTCCCGTGACACACACACACATACATCCCAGTGTTACATCAGCACTGTGGAGCTCGACACGCTCTGCATGCTAATGCGGCGTGTCCATCTGGTACACGCACACAGGAAAGGCAGTGCGCAGCCAGGGCGTGCGCACAAGGCGTGTCACACGCATGTCACATGCTGTGTGACATGCGTGTCGGTCAGGGGCCTGGACTCACACTGGGGGCTTAGCTGGGTTAATGATAAATTATTACCGCCAGATGAATTGTAACCCGGCCTTAAAGCGTAACACTCCTGCTGCTACGGCCATTTGCGTTTTCACTAGAGCTAGTAATGAAACGGTATGAAAATGCATCTAAAAAAGTTGGTCGTCGTGTTTAAAAATACTGCAGCTTGTCACCGTTGAATTATTTTTGAAGTTTATTATTATTCAACAAATGTATCCCATTTTTTTTGGCAAGAAAGTATCACTAATACATCTTTTTGACTGTTAGGTATTATGCTTTATGTAAGAGGATGTAAGCTTACTTCGTATTCCCCGGCTGTGAACAGCGCAGTCCTCGTTCCCCGGCCGGCACTGGCCACACGGGCAGATGGCGTGAATGTCTCAGCTTCAAAGAAGCTTTTATCGTAATTTTGATTTAATAATCAATGCTCTCCGCTCATAATCTGTCCCCTTTCTACTCTCATGTTGCCTGCTTGAATATTTATAAAAGTAGCCGCTTCAGTCATGGTCTCAATTTTAACCCCCCCCCCAGGCAGTACATTGGGGGAATATTCATAAAACTTGATGTCATACTCATTGCATTATTAACTAGCTTAGCCGGCAGGCTTGGTTGCCAAGGAGACGGGGTGTTTACAGAGTGAATTCGAAGGACTTCTCCTGGGTCAGTGGGTGTCCCCTTCGAGAGTTTCCAGTGCGCTAAGCTGCACTTTTGACCGGGTGGGCTTCCCTGCATTCTACACCTCACTGTGTCGAGATGGTTAGTTAAATTTACATTTTAGCAGATGGTGTTGTCCACACTGTGATGACATCCAGAGTCAGACAGTCCCTGGAGCAACTGGGGCTTAGGGGCGTCACTCTAGGGCCCAACTTGTGAAATTATCCTGAGATTTGACCTGGCGACCTTCCGATCAGGGGTAAAGTGACCTAAGCCACTGTGCCACACCCCCCCACTGGTTGCTATCATTTCAATGTAAGACGATGACATATTGTGTGTGTGTGTGTGTGTGTGTGTGTGTGTGTGTGCGTACAGTTTGGCTAAGATGGGGTTACAGTGTGAAACTAGGAGCTTCACAAGGTCTCCATGGACCCACCTCAGTCATTTTCGAGTTTCGTCTTTAATTAGCATGGCAGTTCATCTCGATCAGCCGTGATGAGGCCCCTTGTTTTGTTAATTACTCTGTTCCGGGGCACAGTTTATTCATTGCTGCATGCTTTGTGGGGGGGCTTCCCAGCGCGTATGGGATGGTGACAGCACCCCCTGTCTTGCAGCCTTCGTGACTCTCCTGAATGGCGAGCAGGCCCAGGATGCCATCCGCTCCTTCCACCAGACCTCCATCCGCGGGCGTGAGATCACGGTGCTGCTGCAGCCCACCGACTCGCTGCTGTGCGTCACCAACCTGCCGCACTCCTTCGGCGCCGCCCAGTTCGAGGAGCTGGTTCGCAGCCACGGCAACACGGAGCGCTGCTTCCTGGTGTACAGCGAGCGCACGGGCCACTCCAAAGGCTATGGCTTCGTGGAGTACATGAAGAAGGACTCGGCGTCGCGGGCACGGGCTGAGCTGCTGGGCCGGCCCCTGGGGGAGTGCTCGCTTGTGGTCCAGTGGACCGACGTCAACCAGCTGACGGCTGAGCTCCTCCACTCCAAGTGCCTCTGTGTGGACAGGCTGCCGGCCGACTTCAGCGATACCGATGAGCTTGCCCGCGTCTTCTCCGAGCACTACAAGCCCATCTTCTGCCAAGTGAGTTCACAAGCATGCTACTCTGTCCCCATCACTACGGGATTGTTTTAACCTTTAAATTGTCATTACTGTTGGGGGGTGGGGGCATTTTGTGAGGCCTTGTGTGTCGAACATCACCCCTCCCTTGTGGTGAGTCATGGACCGAGTCCTTGCGGCATCGCCAGACTCCGCGACCGAGGTTATCGCCGTGATTCATCGTGGCTTCTCCTCTCTCATGGTACAGCGTCCAGATGCTCCTGTGAAAGCCAGATTCTAGTGCTACAAATACCCACAATGCATTGCTGCCAGACTGTTTTTGAACTCTTGGAAGCCGTTTTGGCTTTGGGGTGGTTCATTTTTTTTTTTTGGGGGGGGGGGGGGGGGGGGGCTATTGATCTACTTTCTATTGCCACGCCGAGCGGTAATAATCTTTAATTATCGTGGATGAGGCCATCGAGGTCTGGGGGCACCGCCGAACCCAAACGGAAATCTTAAAAACGCGGGACAGAGCGACTAGGAGATAGAGGGCTGTCGTGAACTTGCCATCACCAGGGGGCGCTGTATAAATATCTGTGTGTGCCTGTCTCCTGGGGGCAGATGTCCAGCGGTAAGAAGGGTCTACTCCCGGAACCCAGTCTGGCACAGCTGCTGAGCAGTCTGGGCAATCCGGCCGCCCTGCAGGTTCTGCTGAGGCCATACCAGGCTGGCGCCAGCAAGAGAGGAGGTGAGAGAGCCCCTTTCCTGCCCCCCACCCAATGCCCGGGTCAGGCCCAGTTTGGTTGTCTGGCTAAGTGTCATATCAGCCTTATGAAAGAATCTTGACCCAATAAGAGATTAACATCCAATCTGGCTGTGAGAGATTTCCACTCTGTAAATACACATATCATTGGCTTATTTGTTTTACAGTCCTACATCTGAACTATTTCCTTTGGTCCCCACCGTCCATTTCTAATGTCTGTTTCCATCCGCTCGCCCCAGCTTCTCTGCCACTTGATGAACATCTCATCATATATTAAAATGAACTCTTCAGACACGGGGAGAACGAATGATTTCAGGCAGCCGACGAGGCTGGCCTTCTTAAAGGGGCGTACGATTATCCGGCTAAATTTAGGAGGCCATTAAACGTTAAAATCTCCTACCTATTTCCGGTATAATAAGTCATGGGCAAAGCCGAATCCCACTGCCGTGCTAAGGTCTGGCGCCTCTCTGCTGTCCCTCCCCAGGGAAATTTGGGTGTCCCCAGGGTTTGCCATTCCTGCGCCCCCCCCTCGCCTCGGCTCTGCTGCAGTTGGGAAAGGTGCAACAGGTGAGACTGTGTGTGTGTACGTGTGTGCGTGCCGAGGTGGGGGTGGGGGGGGGAGGTAGGAGGGCTTGAAGGTCATACGCTTGGAAACATGTTTCCGGGAGTTTTGTTATTTAAATGTTTAACTGCCCCCAGCTTTTTAATATTCCACAAGACAGCAGTGCCAGGTGACACAGCAGTTAGGGTGATGGGTTAGTAGGGAGCGTTTACACAGCCGGTTACAGTCCCTGGACGATACGCATGAATACGTCACTGCACAGTGGGATTCAGACCCACTGCTAAACAGGATCAGGATAGATAGTGATTCTTACTGTTGTTATTGTATTTATTATTGATGATTAAATAGTGGCTCTTTGATGGGTGGCTTTCCAGAGTGCCATGTTGGGCAACGGACTCGTCCTCCAGAACCTTCTTCAGATGCAACTGGCCCAGCAGCAGCTACTGCAGATCAAAGAGAAGCATGTGAGCAACGTGTGTGTGTGTGTGTGTGTGTGTGTGTGTCCCTACACACATGTAAGAATTATGCCTGCCGGTCTCCCCGCCTCCTCAAAGATCCCCGGCTCTCAGATTGGCATCGTTCTCTGGTACTTTCCCGCCAACCCTCCCGCGCCGATCGCTCCCTGAGACGCAGCCAACCTTGGTTTCTGCTCGTCTCCTCGCCCCGCGGTGGACGGCGCCCGATGCGATTCCTGCCGCATCTGCATTGCGTGGGCCTCTCGCGGTTATTTGCATAGCGATAAGGAACGATCACATATAGGGATGTGACTCTCCAACGCCGCAGAATCGTGTCTGTCTAGGTCAACCAAAACGCTCGCAGCTTTAAAGACGATATCCGGCTCAAACGTAATTCTTCTCCCTGAAATATCGGGAGATTACATTTGCTCATACACCTCTGAACCATCTTTTCAAATGCTTAATATTCTGTAAAAAGAGATTGTTGAATCATTTGCATAATGTAAAATGCTGCTTTAAATGCCGTACCCTCCCTGCCGGCGTGAGTCTGTGAGCGGCTCAGGATCAGCACCCCCCCGGGGGCCTTCTCTCCCGCCAGGTTCCCAGCCTCCTGGGTGACCCCTCCAGGATGCTCCTGCAGAAAGCCATGGGCCTGAGGGCCACGGGGCCCCTCTCGCTGGGGAAGGGGCTGCTGGGAGACTCCCCAAACGGTGAGCGGCATGTGGGGTGGGGGGGGCGACCCCTGCAGCGCCTTCGCGACTCACGTTGGCGGCACAGGGGGGGGCTGTACGTGTCTCCGAGCCAAAGCCACCGGGTCTCGACGCCTTCATAAGGAAATGGAGCCTTTCTGCTTTCGAACAGAAAGCTTATCTATCAAATGAGATGCTCATCTTGACGGCCTGAATTCTCACCAAAAGGAGGCGTTTCGCCATGTAAATTTTGAATGGAGCCGTTTCTTGGGATTGATGCTCGGTCTCCAAAAGAGACATATACAGGGATGGGCCCAGTGGTCCCAGCTGAAATCTGATTGGCTGACCCCCTGTCACTCACTGATTCAAAACGTGATTGGCTAATAATAATGCTGGCCTCTCTGTATTAATTATGACCCTTATGCCCCTTAAAAAATCCTAAAATTACCTCTGGTCTCCAAGAAGTAGCTGAGGATGAGAGATGAACTGAGAGGCAGAAGTCTGGGATTTTAATGCATTGGGGGGGGGGGGCACTTGGCAAGTGGATGAAGCTGCACCCTCTCCCTGCCACGTCTAAAAATCTCCCACCCCCACAGAGCTGCCTCAGGATGCCTCCCAGACCCCCGGCCAGGCACCATACCTGCCGGGGCGGACGCATCTGGGCCCCAGCGGGGGGGAGCAGAACGGTGTTCCAGCTGGGGACAAGCAGCAGGGGGCGCCGGCGTCCGGCTTCCTGCAGGGTGTGGCCAGCCCCATAGTGAGCGCCCTGCTGGCGGGCCCCAAGTCGCGGCCAGGCAGCAAAGCAGGAGGCCTGGGCAGGGTGAGCTGGCGACTGGCGGGCGGCGCGTGTGGCACAGTTTCAGCCGACGGCCAGTCTGACGCATCGTGTTTTTGTCGTTAACAGGACTTGCTTTTAATGCCTTATTAAAACTCACATCCCATAATTTTACTGTAGATAGGCGCCCCAAGGGCAAGGCCCAATGTCATTAATGGGGAATGCCGCCTTCTTTCCTGCAGACTCTGACCAGCAACCAGACCTCGCTGCTGGGGGAGCCACCGAAAGACGTGAAGGTGTCCTCCAACCCCTACCTGAACCTGGCCAGCGTGCTGCCCGGCGTTGTCATCCAGGGTGCGAGGCTCGGTGGCTGGGCTGGGCTGGGCTGGGGGAGGTGGGGTGTACGCTTTGTCCCATTTAGTCTTCAGTTCACGGTTATAGGATGGACCGGTTCACCTTGTATGTTAGCTTGCTAGTTGCGGTAAGAATAGGGTCCGAACCCGAACCGGCTCACACCAGGTGTCTGTGCTCCGCAGCTCCCAGCAGCAAGGCCCAAAGCATCCAGCCGGCCGGGGGGGTTTATAGCGCCGTGCTGCCCAGTGCCCCACAGACGACCACGCAGCCAGCCCCCCCGTATACCACGGAGACCACCACCGACTACGCGCAGCAGTACACGCAGTCATACTCACAGGTAAGCACGCAGCTGCAGTCACTCATCCTCACCGGCGCACGCGGTAAACGTGGGTAACATTACAGTGCCCTCCTTACCCGCCTTTCTAGAACTTTCTCTGGGCTGTCTTCTTACCCGCAGCCAGCTGTCACATGTGCCGAAATGAGCAGCCAGCGCCCCCTAATGGCGTAAATGGGTATGACAATGCCAGGCTGACACCGCCCTTGAACTCGGCATGCAGCGGGGGAGGTGGGGTGGGGGGGTAGCATTTCTGCCACGCCTGGCGCGTTGCCGGGCTCCATGGGTGGAGGACATTAATTAAGATTAATTAATGAATTAATGAATTAATTAGCCGGGCTCTGGGTGTTCCGGCCCATCTGGTACCCAGCAACCCCGCGGTCCTCAACCCCCAGCAGCACGACACATGGCGTACTCTCACCGGCAGCCGCTGGCTGGCCCTTCTTCCACTGGGGGGCGCTAAGACTGGCTGCATGTACTGCAAACAGGCAGGTGGGCAAGCCAGAGAGAGAGAGAGACAGAGGCAGAGGATGAATAAGCGAGAACGGGGAGGTTCAGAGAAGCCGGGAGGCAGGAGAGCAAACTGGGATTGGGAGTAGGGGGCGACCTCTGACCTCTGACCCCACCAGTCATGTTGCCGCCTGGCAGGAGGCCATACAGCAGTGGTATCAGCACTACCAGGCCCAAGGCTACAGCGGTCCCACCCAGGAGCCGGCCCCCAGCGACTACACCAAGGAGCAAGCCCAGGTGAGCACATGAGCCCCCCCTCCCGAGATGCTCCTGCTGGGGGCGGCCACTGACCCTAAGCCTCTGCTCCTCTGAAGGTTACTGCCTACACACAACCCACCTCCAGCAACTCAGAGACTTACTACCACCAGGTGAGCGACCCGAGCCCGCAGCCACAGCCAGTAGTTGTCCTGGAGGTATTTAAGGCATCCTGTACATGCTACCTTACTCACACAAATGGCCTGTATGTTCTGGAAAGCCGTTGGAGTGGTGACGAGTAGCTGTGGTCCCAGTACAAGCCCATCTGTCTCACATGTCAGTCCCAAGGATGGCCACGCCTACTGTCTCTGCTGGCCACACCCCCTGTTGCTTTTGGCCACACCCCCAGTGTCAGCCACGCCCCCTGTTGTTGTTGGTCATGACCCTGGTTGTGGCCACGCCCCCTGTTGTTGTTGGTCATGACCCTGGTTGTGGCCACGCCCCCTGTTGTTGTTGGTCATGACCCTGGTTGTGGCCACGCCCCGGCGTAACTGCAAGCTCTGTTTTCAGGGAAGTACGACCTCTTATGGTGATTACAGCTCCTACATGCAGGCTGTCAGTCAGTATTACTCTCAGACGCAGATGTCCCAGACAGCAATACAGTCGTACCAGCAAAGGGACGTCAACAAGGTACCCCCCCGCCGCTCCAGCACTGTTTTCTTACACATCTCTGCCCCCTGCAGTGCAGTTCTGCTCAGTGCTCGGTCCTCCATCAGTACGTGTTCAGTCCTCGTGTTTCTCTCACTTCCTGTTAATTTGTACATGCTGAGATCTGAGAGGCTTCTGTTGGTCTGTTTTGCTTACCTTGCGTGTGGCTCAGCAGGCTAGGATGCTGTGCCTGCGAGCAGAAGGTCACCGGTTCACATCCCAGAGTGAATTCTCTGTTGGACCCTTGAGCAAGGCCTTCAAGCCCCAGTCGCTCAGGCTGTCTGGCCCTTTCTCAAATAACAGATGTTGCTTTGGATAAACGTTCCTGGTTTTTGGGAGGCCATGTTCTGTCACCCTCAGCACCATGGATGGATATTAAAATAGTTTTTAACTTGTTAGCAATTTCCTCATTTTAGCCATAACTTGTGCTTCAGTCATATGCTTACGTCTACAGTGGGCCTCCAGCGATAGATCAGTGAGACTGGACTTTGGGGGCAGGACTATGGGGGCGTGGCTGTGGGAGTCACCCTGCCCTGTCAGTTCTGCATGCCTACCAGTAGGGGGTGTGTCAGGTCCTGTGTGCTTCCCGCAGGATGCCGACGCCAACAAGGCAACCTTGGGTGGAGCTCTTCATGCGGCCAGCAATGGCAGCACCCAGAGTGCCCCCCCCGCGTCCGTGGTCACTGCCTACAGCTCTGTGCCCCTGGTACCAGGGTACATCGGGCCTCAGCACGTTCCTGCCACTCCTGCAGCGCCCACTGGTGGCCAGGCCCCTACCACGACCACTGACTGGAGCCAGTACTACTACGTGAGTGCCCTCAGATCGGGGGCTGGTCTTTGTTTTTTGTTAGAGACGCCACTTATCCGATATTCATCATTATCAAACTGACACTGGAGGGAAATGTGGACTGGATAGCAGGGGGGCGGGGGAGCAAGAAACCGATCGGAGTTTCCATCAAAATTAGGTCTAGGTCTACCCTGAAAAACCTGCGAAAATGCTTGTAGCCTTAGTGGGACACACCGTGATCAGAAGTGTTCAGTGACACGTGTGCATGGGAGCTGTCATGTCTCTGGTGTGAAAATGCAGTGACCCCTTCACGGCCAATTCGGAAATAACCGAAACTGTCAACTGTCAAATGCGTGAATGTGGAGGGGAACAGTGAAACTGCAGAGTTCAGTAAAGGCTAGTGCTGATTTTTCTTAGGTCTGAACACAGTAAAATTTAAACAAACTAGATGTCTTTTGACTTGTACTCTTTCTAAAGTTTTGTTAATTACTATTTAAAAGTTTTATTTGTACTCTGCTATATATTTTGTACTGGAGACCTATGTACGTTTTGGCAGAAATGGTTAGTTTGGGTATACAGTGATATTTTTATGATTCCTTTATTATATTTAATTAGGGAGCCGATTGCACAATTTGCATTTTCAGAAAATGTTTCTGTTCATTTTTGTGAAAGTTGCTATGAATAAAACAAAGAAGCAGACTTGTGTAAATCCTGCTGCCTGTGGATTTCTTCCTGTAGCACAGCGGCGCAGCTTTGGAGCAACATGACCAACATATTTTCCTATTCTAAGCAAACTCAAACAAAGCCACTGCAACAGTGCATGCAGAATGTTTACCGTGCTCATTGAAATATATTGATACAAATATCTAATTTAATGATTAGTAGTTGCTAAAGGGGAAAAAATATCACATTGGTATTGTATCGACATACTCAGAATTTTACTATTGGGATCAGACCAGAAAAAATTATATCTTGTCATCTCTATTTTTAATATTTACCATTTGTATATCATCGTTCCTTATAAGGAATGTGCCAGTTACTCTGCGGACACGTGTTTACCCATTTGCCCCCTTTTCTGTGCCCACTCCAGAATCCTGCGCGAGGGCAGAAGCGAGAGTACCCCCTGCCGGCCCCCCAGGACGTGGCAGGGGAGGGGGCGTACGCAGGCCAGCACGCCCAGAGCCAGTACACAGAATACTTCAAGAAGAAGAGGATTTAAGCCCCCTACCCCGACACCCGTGCTCTCGTCCTCCGTGCTCTCGGTATGCCCCCCCCCCCCGCGCAGCCCCCGCGTCCCGTCCATGCCTTAACTTCCAGCCCCTCTCGCTTATCGCTCGATGTTTAAATGGTTCTCGTTTACACGGGGGAGGGACGTACATCTTTGTAATGTATGAGACTCTTTTTGTATTTGCATATTCCAAGACCTCTCTGTGGGCTTGTGTGTTGTAACTTATATCTGTATAAATCCGTCTTTTCTCAGTGTGAGAAAAAAGCCCTTTTTATCCATAATCTTTGAAAAGGTGATGTAGTTTTAACCACCCCCCCCCCCCCACATCCCCCACCCCTTTGTCGTTTTTCTAACTGACTCATGCCATTACGCACCATCACGGCCTCTCGACGCACTCCGCGTTCGCTTACGTTATCTTCTTGCCACTACCTTTAACCGTAGGAGTGACTATAGCCATTTGTAGGACTGCTTCTGTCTGCCACCGAAAGCACAGGGGCCCCCGGCTCGTAATCCTTAAGGGCAGAAGCTTCCTAGCAATCCGACGGCCATGTCTTAAACGCAATAATGTTCGCTGCCGCGTGACGTCGTTCTGTATTAACCCGCCTGTCGCTCTGGAGTCTTAAGCTTCGTGAATTAATTACTTTTCTCCCCTCCTGCCTCCGTGGAGTGCATTTTCAGTTTAGAATTACAGGGATTCAATGCTGGAGGTCTGAGATAGGTGCTGTTTATCCCTCATTATGGGGATGTTACATGATTTTGAATTTTTCTAAGCCCCTGAATGTCTCTTGGAATCTGACGTGGCCTAGGTCTGGCGTCTTCCACGCAGGAAGCCCTTGCCAGCTACTACGCTCAGGCCGTGTTGTTCCAGGCCTAGCTGAGGTGTGACCTCTAGCCCCGCCCCTTCTGCAGCTGGCAGTAAGGCCACACCCCTAACCTTGGGGACTGGCCTATGGGGAAACAGCCTATCTGCTGGATGCGGGAGCGGTGATGTCATTACCAAGCAGTGCTGGCATGCGGTTACCGTCGGAAAGCGATTTGTCAGCGCCCCCCCCCCCCAACCGTGTTCAGTGTGTTGCGTTCAGTTGGGTTTCAAGCACCCAGCTGCTCATTTGCCTTCACAAAGGCAGCTCTGAACCTGCAGCTCTCTTTCTAATAACCTTTATAATATAACGATGGAATAAAGCTATTTGTTTCCCTGGCTGACGTGCAAACTGCCGTCTGCTGGTTCTTCAGGACTTTTTAGGAGGCCGGTATTTCTGCCGTTCAGGTGATCTGTGTTTTAAATCCAGTCTCCCCATGACAGCTGTTACCCACAGCGGCCTCGACACCCCCAACCCCCTTCCAGGACCAGACTGGGGCCTCCTCCCTGGTTTGTTTTCATTCTGAGACAGTAAGATAAACAGTGCCGGCCGTGGTGCTGATCCTGGATCAGTGGGGGCAGGCCCGCTTCCCTTCGTGGCATTCTGCTTGCTGTCAAGGGGTTTACCCCACTGTCACAGTGACATCATCCCACAGGCATTTTACTAAGAATATTTTACCTCCTGTCAAATTTAGCATTGTTCAGTCCAGAGCCCACTCAGTGGGGTATCAGGGTAATTCTCTGCCCCCCGGGTCCTAAGGGGCGGCCCTGCCGTTGTTCGCTGGCCGACAAACCATTTCGAAAAGCCCTCGGACCCTCTTTAAAACCCAGTGTTGTGGCAGAAGGGCGCCCCCTGCTGTCATTGTGGTGCCTCTCTTGCATGTTGCCAATCAGGTGTATAACTCGTATTGATTGTAAACAAGCTCTCCTCCCTGAACCCTTACAGGTTATGGTGGTGGTGGAGGAGTGGGGGGGGCAGCCCTTGTTAAGAAATGAAAGGTGTTTTGGTTCCTCACAGGATCAATATAGCTTGTAAATATGGAGTCTAAGCCTTCAATCACTACATTAGTTTTTCTGTTTTCCCTACTGAAGCTTTGCAATATTGAAACTTTCGGAGATGAGGAATGTCTTGATGCCTTTAGTGTAGGGAAGAGCACAGCTCTGTGACTTTGTACATGAAAATGAAATCACAGATTTCGCAAGCCATTCGTTTGAAGTTTATCTAGGTTTTCTGACCATTTAGATTTTGCAATATTTTATATCCAGAATAGGTTGATATTGCTTTACTGTGAATAAGCTATTTTTAGGCAAATTGTAATTTTAGCATGCATATTCACAAATCAATGTTTAATAGTGCTTTTCATTTTGATTACTTTTATTTAATTGGATTAAATGTGTATTTATGTACATTTTATTTTATTTTTTGCCCAGCTGATCACCATCTTCCTTGTCGAAATTTATTTTCCTCTCTCAAACGGAGAGGCATTTTTCTTTTACGTTCTGGAATAAAAATGGCGGAAATGGAGTCGCAGTCACGTTTCCTGGTGTCGTGCTTTTCTCGCCGGCGTGCGTCTCCCTCGGCTCTCCCCGGCGTGCGTCTCCCTCGGCTCTCCCACTCGTGGTGCCCTTTAATGCAGCCTGTAGTCCCTCCTCAGCTTCTCAGCTCTGCTGGCCGCCGTCCTGCATCTCACATCATCAGCACCATCGCCGCCGCCCCGCTGCTGCTCCTGGTAAGTCCTGATCATCCCAGTTTCATCGCTCACAACGTTCTGTACACGGCGGAATGTTCCCAATCTCCCGGATAAGACCGGCACAAACTTTGGACCCATAATCACCTGCGCCCTGCCTTTTAGTTTTAATTTGGATTTGCGAGTCTGGGGGCTTGAGGTGAGTGTTTGTTTTTCCCTTCTGTGAATTGGTGGGATTTGCTGCCATCTTGTGTCCATGGGTGGTCACCGATATATGCAGCTGAATGCAATGTGAGCAGTTTCAAATAGCATGTCTGTCTGGAAGGGCTGCTTCGTCCACACTGTCGCGAGCCTTAATGCCATTGGCAGCAAATCCCGTAGAAGCTGCTCTATTTACGAAGACGTGGTTATTTAAAAAGGAGCGAGGAGTCTGTCGCTGTGCAGAGTTCAGTCCCCTTTAGAGCTTAATGAGGCTCCGCTGTCTTTTTATTGCCTGTCCGCCAGCGGCTGAAAAACCTCGATCAGCTCCCTGAAAGTGACCCGCTGCTCCGGGCAATTATCCCAGCACCTCCTCATCTGGGTGTAGACCTGGCCAAAGAAGAGAGAGGGATCAGGCAAGTGCGGGATGGCATTCCCACCTCCTCCTTTAATTCCCCTATGGCGAATTCCCCCGCTGTACCGTTTCTGGGCAGCCGGGGGGGCACGGCAATCTCTTCCCCTCTTCCAACACCCTCACTAGCCTGGTGACGGTCATCTGACCATGGGTTGGACCAATCATCTTCAGGAACATCTGAAACCCATGAGGACAGGGCATCTAAGCATCAGAACCGCCAAGAAATGGGGGAGGGGGTTCTGGGAATCATACTGGTGGTAGTTATCTTTAAGGGGAGATGTGGCTCTGGGGAAGGGGGCGTGTCTCTCCGTCAGGCACAAGTACAACCAGACACACTCTTTGGCTGAGTCACCCGTCACCCTCGGCCGTGACCAGGGCCATCTGCCGCCTGAACAGAGCAGCCCCACCCGCCCCCCTGTGCCTCACCAGTCTGACATTTGGAGCAGAATCATCGCAAAATGGGTTGAAAGAAACCGCAAGCCCTTCCCTCCCCCCGCCATTGCGTTCGGGTCAGGGACGACAGGGGCAGCATACCACCATGGGGCTGGAGCAGTTCTCGCAGTAGGTGAGCAGCTCATACAAGGTGACACCGAAGGACCACACGTCCGATGCGCGGTAGAACTTGCAGTGGACCAGACATTCTGGGGCGTACCTGGGGAGAGCGGGAAGAGGAAGGGTCAGGCCCAAAACGTGATGCAGCTGCCGCCGCCTTGATTTTGGCACCAGGGACACGAGGCCACAGATACAACATGGGGCACTGAGGGGGTCTTGTTGGTGGCGGTATATTTCTGGAGGCTCCATCATGAACACCAGGGGGTGCTGTGAGATTTGCAGGCTCTTGTGGATAAATTGTCGGGGCTGGTAAAAATCGGCGTCCCAGATAGACCTTGCAGGTACGGGATGCCAAAGATCGCACATAATCCACGAGGGCTCCTAGTGCGATTCAGCCGAACCTCCATCAGTAGATTCGCATAACGATTTTAAGGCTGGGTACCGTTAGCGATAACTCTCACCAGAAGACGGGGCTATCCAGGTCATCCTTGACCGTGTAGTAGCCCTCCCCGTCCTTGATGGTCTTAGTCAGGCCGAAGTCCCCGATCTTGACGTTGTGCTCATTCTCCACCAGCACGTTCCGGGCGGCCAGGTCCCTGTGGATGTAGTTCCGGGATCCCAGATAATCCATTCCCTAGTGGGAAACACCACATTAAGCCTAAAGGAAAAGCAGCTCACTCACGCCCCTCTGTTGGGGCGATGATCAAGGAACTTCTGCCCTCTGGTGTTTAACTACCGGTACTTAATTTAGTGTGACAGCTGTGCAAATGAGTTAGCTGTACTGAATAATTATTTGTTAAATTCTTTTTTAATGCACACAGCATGGCTGCTGGCTTCTTTCCTTGCATGGCGCTGTGTTCTCATGTGACCCGTGGCACCCGGGGACGCCCTGCAGCACAAACACGGCCCACATACCTTGCATATCTGCACTGCATACGTTAGCAGCTGCTGCAGGTCCGTCTGCGCCTTCCTCCGAGGCAGGTACTCCTTGAGGCTACCGGCAGGGAGGTACTCCATGATGAGTTTGATGGACAGCCCTCCTAAACAGGAAGTGACACGGGGAAGTCCGTGTGAGTGGGGGTGTGTGTGTGCCTTCCTCCTGTAGCTGTAGCTGTAGCTACCAACCCTGCTCGCTGCAGATGCCCTTGTACTTGACGATGTTCTCATGGTAGAGCTCCTTGAGAATGTCAACCTCGCGCTGCAGATTGCAGCTCTGCTCCTCCGTGGTCTCTGGCTTCAGGGACTTGACAGCCACCAGCTCGCCGGTGCGGTCGCTCTGGGGGTCGTACATGCACAGCTCCACCTTGCCGAAGTGGCCCTGCAGTCAGCCGTTCAAGAGACCGAACCTAAGCTTGTCGCTCATCGCTTTCTGTGGCACGAAGTAAAATAGAAATTACCTCGCCCAGATCTCGGATCTTCTTCAGGAACCTCCTCTCGAAGACGGTGGGGTCCACCTCCAGAGTCGGTACTGGCTGGATTAGTGGGTCTGCATGATACGACAGCATGTCCGCATGAAGATCAACACTTAGCAGTTAGCATAGCGGCTAAGGAGCTGGAACATGCAGCTGTAAGATCCAACTAGCATTAACGTGTTTATTCATTTTCACTTAAAGTAACAAGTTTCCTCCATAAAATGTGGAATATAAAAACAAACAGTTAAACATGCACAGCGGTTTAGGCTGTTGCTGTTCTGCTTGTTTTGGTAGATATAATTTTTAATAACTGCAGTACTCCTGACAGTCACAAGGTGGGGTATTGAGAATAGTGACAAGGGGAAACGGTAGGAAACAACAGTAACTTTCAGTAGCAGAGACCAGCCTTGGGGAAACTAATACTGCCATTTCTATAGTGGAGATACATTGAAAAAGAGAATTTCCCCTCACTCTGCTCCTCGAGCATCTCGATGTCCCTCACGATGGCTCTGAAGAAGGGCCTCTTGCGGGGGTCGTAGTTCATGCAGTGTATCATGAGCTCGGCCAGCTCCTTGCAGTTGGGTGTAGCCAGAGAGCACTCAGCCGTGTAGAAGCGTTCCTTCTGCCAGAGGAGGCGGGGGCAGTCATGAGGGAATTCATCACAGGACGCTCCCCCCTCCCTTCTTTAGATTTCCATGTTGGCATAAACAGGAACAGCTATTGTTTACAGTACTCAGGAAGGTCCACAAACCTCCTGAAAGGAGATCTTGGAAAAATTCCTTTTACATTCCAAGTATTTGCCATGACTCACTGTTAGTTTAATAATTAATCCACAGTTGGCCAGCTTGTAAGATCTAAGCACATTGAATGTTAATGGAGCTGAACTTCTGAGGTGAACATGCAGCAGAGATTGACACCTTCCACCCCTGAAGGTCACTGCATGATCGCATGCACTGTCTAGCCCATAGCGCAAAGCGTCCACGATCACCACCAGTGTGCTAGTAGCTATGCTATTGCTCTGGTTACCATGCCAACGGCACCAGCTGTGCCTGCGCGGTTGAAGTCTGAACAAACATGCAACCTCACAAACTTGGGCCATCGCGCCCGTCTCCTAGCAGGACGCGTTGAGATGCGGCCTTTCAAACCTCGGTGAGCTTCTTGTCCTTCAGTGGCACCTCGCCGTCATAGCAGATCTCCCACAGGGTGGTTCCAAAGCCCCACTTGTCTGCTGCCACACTCAGGTCTGTCGGGTTCCTCATGCACTCCGGGGCAATCCAGGGGATTCGGTCCACACACTCTGCAAGAACCCAACATGGACCTTGGTCACCATGCTGCCCACATATCTCCTTGATCTCTTAAAGTCTACCAATGACCAGAATCTTGCTTGAGACCTCTATTGGTGGTTCTAGTTACACAAGTTCTCAGATATGGGATGTCCTTCAACTTCTTCCTGCATGAAACAGTACTGAAATGTCCTGAACGCGGAATGTTGAAAAAGTCCACGAGACCTTCTCTGGTGAGCACGGTGACAGGGATGCCCGGGTCGCTGAGCTTGACAAAAGGTCCACCCTTGCTTTCCAGGCCATCCCGAGCCAGCAGAACGTTCTTGGTGCAGACATAACCATGGACCAGCTTTTTGTCCTCCTAGAAGGAGAGAGATCCAGAATCACGGAGAACAAATCCAACAATCAGAAGCCTGACTTGATTCTTTCCAAAAAGTTTTCAAACTGTGCCATGTTGAATATTTCAACTGGGGAGGGATGACAAGAGGCAAATACCCCCCAGCACCCCATCATGTGTGCATCGAGTCCTCTCACCAGGTAGCTGAGCGCGCTGGCCAGCTGCTTGGCCACCTGGAACTTCCACGGCGTGGCTAGGTGGCTGCGGTGCTTCCGCATGAAGAGGTCCAGGGGCCCTAGCTGCACAAACTCCTCCACTATGATGTCTGCATGTGAAGCGAGAGCACAGACACATCAAAATAGGGAAAGTCCATCCTACAAACTGAAAGGAAAACGCTGCGGAACCAGAACATCCACCGCAAAAACTCAGCACACACAGAGCTAGCCTGGATTTCTACAGGCGCTACAAAGATCTTGAGTGAGGAAATATTAGGGTATGTATGGTAAAGATCTGTAACAGTTAAAAATAACAACAAAAAAAAACAGACCAATCATGGGGTTTGGCATGGAGAAAGCCCTCAGATCTCACTTACTCTCCAGGTCTCTCACACAGATGCCGTGCAGCAGGACGATGTGTTTGTGGGAGACCTGTTGCATCATGCTGGCTGCCTCAAAGAAGGCCTGTGGACAGGGAAGCTTAGCGTTAGGGGACATGGAGGCGGAGGGGGTACACTGATGGATTCTGGGAGAGGAAAGCTCACCAGGGAGATGTCTCTGTGACCAGACCCCAGCACCTTCAGGACCACCTTCACCTCCTGGGAGGAGTAGCCGCCGACATCGATCTCATCTTCATCGAGTTTCCTCTTCAGGAGGCCCATGTAGATGTTTGTCCTCGTCCCTCGGCCCAGATGCTCTCCCTAGCAGGTGTGATGGGGGGGGGGGGGG